ATTTATGACTCTGTTATCCTAGGGGGAGAGTTAAACCTAGCTCTTAATTATTGATAGTTTAAACAGATAAAAAAATTTATAAAAGTTTATATAATATGTGTTATGGCACATTTGATCTTATGAACTCGTATGTAGAGGAAAATCCTGCTTCGAAATTGGAAAATGTGCATTTGTGAATGAGGACTATTTAAAACTGATTAATGGTCAAGTCCCGGGAGGTAGCCTGGGCCCCGATCCACTGCAGGAAGGAGAGCCATGCCTTCTCCCACCCCAGCTGCCATCGCTCAAGCACCGGGAAGGTAGCCCTGAACCCCCGTAAGGGCCCCTATGCCCCACCCCCGCACTCTCAGACCTCCTGACTCTGCCAGTCTTTGGACCTACTCTGCAGAGGCAGAGGTGGTCATCAAGGGTATTTTTCTAAGTTCCCAACTTTGAACATCTTTAAAGAAAGGGCGTGGGAAACCTGTAATAGAATGTTGTGGAGTTCAACCATTCAAAAGGTTGGGGAACTCAGTCTGGACCTTGCAGCCCGAGGTCAGTCAGCGTCATTGGGTTCATCCATCAGCTAACTGAGACCAGGGGTCTTGCATCCTTGCTCTGTCTGAGCCATTAAATGGTAAATACACCATATTGAAATTTTGTTCACTGCAGACATGTTCTGGACTGCTTCTTGATTTCAATTTAATTCAGATGATTTAAGGGTGATAGACTAGTGACTACCACAGGTGGTCAGTGTCCAAGTTGTGCTTGATCTTAATGTGTTACTGATTGTATGAGTTGGGATAAAGCATTGCGGTTGATTTGATGAGCTGTTTTCTCTGATGTTATGAAGATGAGAATGTCTGTGGGTTGTCAGACACAGAAGCTAGGGCGCAACTATATCAGGAAGATTTGGGTGATAACCCAGAGATTAAACCAAGGACGGCCTGACAACAAAAATAAAAATGAGAAAACACTTAAGCAAGACACAAGGACAGACTTCCAGCTCACCAATGGCAAACAGTAGGCAAATGATGATGAAAAGGCCGATAGTGAACCACCAGGACACCTTGAACTCAAAGCACAGGAAGTAACAAAACAGATCAATCAGACTCTAGAAAAATTCAAAACAGAAATAATTTCCCAGATAGCCATAGAGATAGTGAGCAAAATGGAAGTCGCGTTTTGAGACTCTAGAGCAGAAACTGACAAAAAAATAGATGAGCTCAGGACCATGATAGAAACCATGAAGACCCAGCATAAGAAAGAAATGGAAACAATAAACACCCAACATAGGAAAGAAATGGAATCCATAAAACAGATTCAAACAGAT